ACCCTGTCTCTAAATAAAATATAAAATGGGGGTGTGGCTCATTGGTTAAGTGCCCCCAGGTTCAATACCTGGTACCCCCCACACACACACAAAAAAAACCAGATTAGCCAAATGGCCACACAGTCATATAGTGACATGAACGAAAATGAACAAACTACTGTTACGTGCAACAACATGGAGGAGTCGCATACAATGATTTTGATATTGGCAGACTATAAAGTCAGACAAAAAAAGAATATAAGAACTTGTTTAAAGTTTAAAAACAGACCAAACTAGTATTCAAACAAAAACCTGGACATTAAGGGGCTGGGATTGTGACTCAGAAGTAGAGCACTTGTCTAGCACGTGCGAGGCCCAGGGTTCAATCCTCAGCACCACATAAAAAAATAAATAATAAATAAAGGTGTGTCCAATAAAATATTAAAAAAAACTGGACATTAATATTCATAGCAGCACTATTCACAATAGCCAAGGGTCAAAACAATCCAATGTCCATGGATGGAGAAACGGTTAAACAAAATATGGTACAATCATACAAGGAATATTATTCAGCCTTAACAAAGCATGGAGTACTGCTACATTCTACAACATGGATGAACCTTGAAAATATGCTGAGTGAAGGAAACCAGACACAGAAGGCCATATATGACATGATTCCATTTATATGAAACATCCAGAATAGGCAAGTCCATAGAAATTCAAAGCAGACTAGTGAGGTTGCAAGAGGTTGAAAAGAATGGGGACTGGAGAATGGCTACAAATAAGTATGGGTTTTCTTTCTCTTTTTTTGCAGGGGTAGGGGGCAGTGCTAAGAAATTGAACTTAGGGCTTCATGCAAGCTGCCAGGCAAGTGTTCTACCACTGTGCTACATTTCTAGCATTTTTTAAATCTTGAGACAGGGTCTCACTTAGTTGCTGAGGCTGGCCTCAAACTTGTGATCCTCCTAACTCAGCCTCCTGAGTACCTGGGATGGCTTGGGTTTTTCTTCTGAAGTGATGAAAACATTCTGAAACTGTGAATGGTAATGGTCGCACAACATTGTAAATGTACAAAACACCAGTAAATTGTACACTTTAAAGTAGTTGAAATGATAAATTTTATGTTATACATTTTTAAAGATATTTTTAGTTGTAGATGGACACAATATCTTTAGTTTATTAATTTTTTTCATGTGGTATTGAGGATTGAACCCAGTGCCTCATGTGTGCTAGGCAAGCGTTCTACCACTGAGCTACAACCCCAGCCCCATGTGGTATATATTTTACAGTAAAATTAAAAACATAAACCAAATGTATGGCATAATAAATCAGGATAGTAGTTAATTGGGGCATGAAGGGGTGTAGAGTTCCTGGGGTACTGGTAATATTCTTTTATAAAATCTGGGTAGTAGTTATATAGGTATGTTCAATTTGTGAAGATTCACTAAGCAAAAAAAAAAAAAAAAAAATTCACTGAGCTAGAAAAGACAATGAGTACAGATGATTCTTTCAAGGAGTTTTGCTGAGAAAGTGGGGCAGTAGCTAGAGGGGAAAGTAGAATTAAGGGAAAATTATTTTAAGATGGGAAAAATGATAGCATTTTTGAAACATTTCAGAGGCTGGGGGAAGTGGCACACTCCTGTAATCCCAGAGACTTGCAAGGCTGAGGCAGGAGGATTAGAAGTTAGAGGCCACAGCCTGAACAACTTAGCAAGACTCTATCTCAAAACACAAAAAGGGCTGGGTATGTTGCTCAATGGTAAAGCTTCCCTGGTTAAATCCCCAGCACGAAATAACATAAGTAACTAAGATAAACACCTGAGCACTATCTGGTAGAGAGCGGGTAATAGGTGATGCAGGAGACAGGAGAGTCACTTGAGCAGTCCTGGAGCAAGGACAGAAAATGAGACCTCATGCATTCACCCGTCTGCAGTAAATCGTCTATAGTAAAAAGCAGGAAATGGAGTCAGAGGGGTGCCCGTGCTGGTGGGTGGGTAGAGCAGTGGTTAGTCTGCATAAATTCCCTGCTGGTTGACTAACAGATTTATAACCCCCAAAACTACTAATGAGCAATCTCAGACTCGGTGAAAAGGTTTGCTCACGATCACGAGGCTGGAGCGGGAAGTACACCTCAAGTTCACCTCTCCACCCTGTAAAACAGCGCTTTCTATTGTTTGCCCTAAAACAACTTCTCAAACTTTTAGAAGTACCTCTCTGAGCTTCTAAGGACCCTGGAATCTGGTGAACAAGGCCTGTTCCGCCTTGCCAGGGTGCGTTAGCATACAGAGGACTTGGATTACATTCCCTCCTCAGCCTGCACAATTCTATCTGGAGCTCCTGCCCTCATGGTCAAAGCCCTTCATCACTCCAGCGTCTGGCCCTTTTCCAGTTCTATTACGTCTTTCTTGGAATGCAGAGGCCATAACAAAAGAAACCACACTGACTTCCATTTTGAAGAGCCTTTTGCAAGGACAAGGGCCCATTTATATTCAAACTGATGGTCAGCAAAGTGGTGGCTTGCCCAAGGTCACTCAGAGTACCAACGTAGAGCCCAAGGCTTCCGGGCTTTTGCCACCATCTCTCTACCACACTCAACAGCCTTTAGACAGGACTCCAGATGGACACTGTGTGTCAATTAGGGCACCTTCAGCAGCTAGCGATGGGGTGGGCAGGGGTCAAACTGTGTCAAATTGGATTAAAGCAATAAAGAGGGTTTGCTGACTTCTGTCACAGAAAGCCTAGGAGCAGGCCATCCTCTGGACTGGGGCTCAACAACATCATCCTGGTTACAATTTTGTTGTTCTGCCATTTAGAGGCAACATTATGCTACCTTCCCACCTCTGGAACCAGTGAGTGTGACCTTTTTTGAAATGCCATTAAGGCTCTTGAGAAAAGTCTATCTTAGATTAATCTAGTGAGTTCTAAATCTAATCCCAAGCATTCTTATAAGAAAGTGGAAAGCCATGTGAACACTGGCAATGACCGGAAAGAGCAGCCAGCCACAAGCCAAGGAATGATGACCGTCACCAGAAGATAGACAGACAAGACACAGACTTGAGAAAAGTCAGCTGACACCCTAATTTCAGACTTCTGGCCCCCGCCTCCAGCACTGACGATGAACATATTTCTGCAGTCTTAAGCCACTAACTTTTTGGTAATTTGCTTTGGCAAGCCTAGGAAACAGATATAATGGCCAAAGAATGCAATTATAAGCACTATGTTAGGCCTGAAACTATGCCCGGCTCTTATATCGGGGGATGGGATGAGCTTTTCCCAAAGCCCACAGGCTTTATGGGTAAGGTCTAGTCACCAAAAAAAGGAGAAAGGGTGTAAAGGAGGCACCTGGGGTGTCCACTGCAGGCACCCTGTGCAAGGAAGGCACCATCCTGAGTGTCTGCTCTAAGAGAAAAGAGAGCACAGGGCAAGCAGAGGGTTCTCTGGAGGCATAACATTCACATCTTAGGGTGCAGGGCTACAAAGTCCTGGGAGACCCCAAACTCTGAGAACACAGATGTGCGTCTGAAATGTGGAACACTGTCTTCTTGAAATAATGGCTGTAGAAGTGCTTTTGAATGATGAAGATCACTCACACTTAACAGATTGTTCCATCCATCTGGCTGCAGGAGCCAGGGTCTTGAGGTCATCCCAGAGGCTCCTCCCCTTGCCCCACTCTCACCAGCAATCCATTCCCACTCCTGTCAGCCCTACCTTCTCTACGGAGTCCCAACCAGCCCACCACCCTCCACCTCCATCACTGTCCTCTCTTGCTGGACAACTGACAGCCCCCACCAGCCTGGCCTCCCTGCCTTCAGCCTCCTACCACTTCTCCCCACCAGAAACTAGAAGAATCTTCTTGAAGTGAAAATGTGTCTGTGTTGCCTTCCTATTAAGAAACCTTCAAGCTGTTGGCATAACGTTCAAGGTGCCTTGTTTACGGGACTTCATTTCCCCACTCTGTACCTTGCCAGTTCTCCCTAATACGTCAAGTCTTCTCATACCTGAGGTCTTTGTATACACTGCTCCCTCAGGCTGGGTGACGTCCCCCCCACCACTTGCCTGACCAAGTCCTTAAGGACTAGCTTAGAGGCTGTCTCCCTTGAGGGCTCTCCTTGACCTCCCAGCCCTTCCTCTGAGTTTACTCTTATCATGGTCCTTCCACAGTATTTTAAGGGCCTTTGTGTGTGCTATCACCTCCCCCTCTAGAGTCTGAACTCCCTAAAAGCAAGAACTAGGTGGGGCCTCTGCCTCTTCACCCTGAGTACACAGTATATAGCAGAAGTTCAGAAATAAATGAATGAATAAAGACCAAATCTACAAAGAAGTCCTTTTGCTTTGTGTGAAAGTCCTAGACTTCTGCTAAATCTAAATGTTTCCCACTTTGGTAGCACAAATACACAAGCCCAAAAACTTGGCATCAGAAAACTTGAGTTCCATCCTATCCTACCTTTGTGACCTTGGGCTAGCTATCTGGCCTTCCCCAAGCCTCTGTGAAACCTGCTTCATTAGAACAAGCACCTAGCATATAATGTGGTAGAGGAATACAGAGCATTACGTTTACCATTCTTTGCATCTGCACACACTTTGAAGTCAGAATTGAAGGTAGGTATTGGAGGCAGGGTATCTGATGTCCCTTACCTAAGATCTTACAGTAACCTTTTCTGAGAACACTTAGGTATAAAATCTGGAATAAATACTAAGAATGCACAGGTGAGTCTGTCAACTAGCAAGAAACTGACTAAACCGGGAAGTAAACTTGAGCTGGCCTGAATTTCCCCATAGGACACGCTGGAGACTGTGGAGTCAGTGGGTCTTTAGTGCCACCTGCTGGATGAGTGGAATAAAACCAGAGGCCACAGCCAGGAGAAATTCAGGCCCCAGCCTGGAGTTGCCAAACACATGGCTCTAACTTATATCTGCCACATTTGTTCAACAGCTAATGAAAAGTTGTCAGAGGAGATTGCTTTTGAAATCAAAACCACCTAACCAGAAAAAAAAATAAAGAAAAAGAAAACCTACTTCACCTTGCAATGATCAGGAAGTGGAAGCATGCCCCTGGGATAAATTCCGATTCACAGGAAAGAAGGACCCAAGAAGCCTGTGAAGTGGAGGGAAAGATCTTCCTTAGAAGAAAACACAGCCCTATTTTACCCCCCAGGTCATCACCAAGTACAAATCTTGGTGGAATTCTCCAAACCTGAGTGCTCTGGAACCCAGTTGAACATCAACAAGTCAGAATCTAGCTCAGTCTGGGAACCAGCTCAAAAGAAACTGCCGGAAGCAGGGAGGCCATTCTTTCCAAAGGCCTTGGCTTTGCAGTCAGACTTGCTAAGTCAACAAAGTGGGAGCCAGCCCTGCCTCTTGCCTTCCTGTTACACCCTCCAACTACTTCTCCCTCCAAGCTGGTTCTCCTTGGTCTGCCACGCTCACACCAGGACACACACACATGCTTACACACAGAGCACTCCAGATTCACCATTCCCAGTTGTCTGGAAGAACTGTGTAGGGGGCACACATGAGCTGCAGCCAGGGTTAGTTTTTCTCTTTCTCCATATTCCAGCCATCCTGGGAAAACAATGCAAACTTCAGAAAACCAAGGGCAGAGCAGTGACGAGTATTTACTTAGCCAATGAGTTTGCTTCCTACTCCCAGAGAGGCAGTCTCAGATTTCCTTGGGACAACAGCGCTTAAAGGAGTCTAGCCAGTTGCTTCCGTACCTGAAGAATGTTCTACACAGCCTCTACAATTAACTTTTTTTTTAATATTTATTTTTTGGTTAGACACAATACCTTTATTTTGTTTATTTATTTATTTTTATATGGTGTTGAGGATCAAACCCAGGGCCTCGCGCATGCTAGGCGAGCGCTCTACCACTGAGCCACAACCACAGCCCTACAATTAACTTCTGAGGTGGGGGGAAAGGCTCCTCTAGACCCAGGCACAGAAGTCTGGGAGTGAAGGCAGGGGAAGCCCTGCCCTGTGCAACCTCTTATGCAAGGGTCTCATGATGCCCCGACAGCCACAGTAACAAAGCGACAAACTAAGGGATGGGGTGAAGGGGTACATTCCCCCAGAACCACCCCAAAACAAGAAAGCCATAAGACAGAAACAAGTGGGAGCCATGAAACATACACAAAATTACCTATACAAATTGGAAACAGCCAGGGCTGGGGTGTAGCTCAATCGTATCGCGTGTATGCTTAGCATGAGTGAAGTCCTGAGTTCAATCTGCAGCACACACCCCTCAAAAAATTGTGACTAGCACAATTCTGTTTGTACTATCACAGAACAAAAATTGTAAGTTTCTCATCAAGATAGAAAATAAAAATAAAGACTTAGGAGCACCTTGGTATTGATCAACCAATGATGATACCTCAAGTACACCATTTCTAACTCATTGATGATTTGTCCCCAGGCCCCTGGCAGAAAGGAGTTTACATCCGGGCATCTGTAACTTTGTATCTCTTATATCCTGGGGATCAAGAAGCAAAACTGTCATTCTTTCCAATCATCCTAATTTCCTGTCCCCAGCTCCCACTCACTGTCTAGAGTTGTCACAGCCTTAGAGCTGTGCCAGGGCCTCATGCAGTGAGGCACATGCAGGTGGACAACAAGTCCTCTAATGTCCATCTTAAAAGGTCCGCCATATTCTCAGGGCCCATCTGGTCCATCAGGTTCTTGGAAAGTTCAAGGAATGAGCCTCTCTTGAAAGATGTCCTGCTGTCCAGAGGTACCTCCCAGAGGACTTGACTCCCCAGAGGCTTTTTTCCTTTGCCCTACGGAAAACACTATCCCTCCAAGTCTCCTCAAGAAGCACAAAGCCTGGGGAACAATGTGGTCAAATTATACAGTGATATTGCTTGCATGTACAAATATACCACAATGAATCTGACCTTTATGTACAACTCTGATGCACCAATAAAAGAATGGGAAAAAAATTTAAGAGGATACACAAAACCCTAAATAAATCCCTTTTGTAAAAGATTTTTTGGTATTCTGTACCCTGCCACATGCCTCTGCTAAGGTGATGAGCACAACGCCCACTGGTCTGCTTGCACAGGGAAATGGACAAACGACAGAAGATAAGCAATGGCTCATCTCCAATGTCGTCCAGACACACTTGATGAACACATATCTACTCTCCCTTCCTTTATCCAAGACTTTGGCCACAGTCATGGTGGGTCTTTTTCTTCTTTGGTACTGGGGATTGAACTCAGGGGCACTTGCCCACGGAGCTGCATCCCCAGCCCTATTTTGTATTTTATTTAGAGGCAGGGGCTCACTGAGTTGTTTAGCGCCTCACTTTTGCTAAGCCTGGCTTTGAACTCAAGATCCTCCTGCCTCAGCCTCCCGAGCCACTGGGATTACAGGCATGCGCCACCACCCCTAGCCAGTTTCTTTCTTTCTTTTTTTTTTAAAAAATATTTATTATTTTTAATTGTAGTTAGACACAATATCTTTTATTTTTACGTGGTGCTGAGGATCGAACCCAGGGCCTCACACATGCTAGGCGAGCGCTCTACCGCTGAGCCACAATCCCAGCCCTAGTTTCTTTCTTGGTAAGACAATATTATTTGAAAGAAGTATCAGAATAAATGTTTCTCATTTGTTCTTCTCGGCCCCTTAGTACCTATATTTTTCAGCAGCCTCTGTACACTTTTGTCCCTCTCTCTATTCCCTCCTTTTCTCTCCCCTCACACATTCTGAGAAAAACTGGCCAGAAGTCACCACCGCCCCAGTCAAGACCGTGAGATAACAGTGCCACAGGCAGCAGCTCAGTGGTCACACAAATGCCGTGGCTCCAATCATCACATCATGTGAACATTCTGATTCCCATGTCCAAAAAGGACTTTTAGGCTTTGTCTTCCTTGGCTTCACTTTATAAAAGACAGCCATTTCCTCTTCCTTAAGACTTTCTTATTAGACTTGGGAAGAGTGGCACCTACACTCACCTGGTTTTCACCCTCTGCTGCCACTATGGCCCTGGAGGTCAGATCCTTCCTCCTACTCAAGTTCAGCTCTCTTTCTCAACATACCCAGCCTCACGCACCAATGTCAACCTCCCTCAGTGCTGAAACCTACAGAAACCTCCAAAAGTCCCAGATTTGCACCTCCAGCATCTCATCTCTCCCCTCACTATTTCAAATACAGAAAATAAGCAGCCAGAGAGAAGAGAAGATTGCTAATTTCCAGTACTTGAGCGTCAGGACCACAGAGCTGACTAGGGTCAAATGGGTAGAGAGCAGCTCAATGCAAGACTTGTAACAAATAGCAGAAAAAGATTTGTAGACAGTGTTAAGGCCAGTAAGCAACAGCCACGTTCCTCAATTCTGAGACTGAGGCTTCTTAGCTTAGTGTTATGGTGTGGATATGAGGTGTCCCCCAAAAGCTCACATGTGAGACAATGGAAGAAGGTTCAGAGAAATGATTATGAAAGCCTTGGCCAGTCAGTGAATTAATCACCTAATGGGATTAACTGAGTGGTAATTAAAGGCAGGTGGGGCACGGCGGGTGGAGCATGGCTTTGGGGTATATGTTTTTATCTGACAAGTGGAGATCTGCTTTCTGATCATGTGAGCTGCTTCCCTCTGCCACACTCTTCTGCCATGATGCTCAGCCTCAGTTTGAGCCCTGAGGAGTGAAGTCTGCTGCCTATGGATTGAGACCTCTGAAACCGTGAGCCCCCAAATAAACTCTTTTTTTAAATATTTATTTCTTAGTTGTAGTTGGACACCATACCTTTATTTTATTTATATGTGGTGCTGAGGATTGAACCCATGGTCTCCCAAGTGCTCTCCCACTGAGTCACAACCCCAGCCCCCAAATAAACTTTTCCTTCTCTAAAATTGCTCTGCTCAGGTCCTACAGTCACAGTAGCGAAAAAGCCAACTAAAACACTTAGTACCAGAGATTCGGATAAACAGAAGATTTTTTTCATTTTTGTTGAATATCTAAATTGTTAAGTCTTCATTATAAAAAGCTGATTAGAAATCATTGTGGTATTTCCTTTAATTCGACTGTGTGTGTGTGTGTGGGTGTGTGTGTGAGGGATTGTGCATGCTAAGCACATACTCTACCACTAAGCTACACCCCCATACCTAATTTTTTAAAATATTTTTTGGTTATACATGAACACAATATCTATTTATTTTTATATGATGCTGAGGATCGAACCCAGTGCCTCACATGTGAGAGACAAGCCACTGAGCCACAACCTCAGCCCCCCAATTCTTTTTTTTTTTTTAACTTTATGTATTTATTTCTTTAATGTGGTGCTGAGGATCGAACCCAGTGCCTCATAGGCGTGAGGCAAGTGCTCTACTCCTGAGCCACAACCCCAGCCACCCCCGCCAATTGTTTTTTAAATAACCATGATTTGTTATTTATCAAATAAATAATCTCCTTTACAAATTCATGTCTTCTCAGACATATACTAGTTTTAGAGAACAAAGTTTACTTATTTTGAATCAAAGGTTTGCAGATTAAAGTACAGCAGTAAACTCACCATTTCTGGACATCTCTCTCCTCTGCTCCTATATGTTGGTTTTCTGGGGTTTAGATTTTTGGTACCAGGGATTGAACCCAGAGGTGCTTAACCACTGAGCCACATCTCAGCCCTTTTTGAAATGGGGCCTAAATTGCAGAGGGCCTCACTAAGCTGCTGCAGCTGGTTTTAAACTTATAATCCTCATTCCTCAGCCTCCCAAGCTGCTGAGATTATAGGAGTGTACCATACACCTGGTCCTATGTACTGTTTTTAAAATGGTAAATTAATAAAGAATTCTAACTAATCCTAATTTAATTAATCTAAATCTAATTTGAGCACAAAGACTTTTTAAAGGTTCTTCAAAAACTGGTTCTTGCCATGTGTGGTGGCCCACACCCGCAAATCCCAAGGACTCATAAGGCTAAGGCAGGAGGTTCAAGGCTGGCCTAAGTAACTTAGTGAGACCCTGCCTCAAAAAATATTTTTAAAAAGGGTCTTGGGATATAGCTCAGTGGTAAAGCATCCCTGGGTTCAATTCCCAGTACCAAACACTAATAACAACAAAAAACTGATTCCTTTCCATCACCAGTCTAGTATATGATCAGACAAGGCAAATATTATACCCATTACTGAAGGGAACTGAGTTTGGAACAATATTAACTGAACATTGTCATGCTTGGCCAATAAAGAGATGCTGAGAGGTGAGCCACGGTCCTGACCTCAAAGAGGGAGGCAGACCATAGACCAACCACCGAGGCAGAGTAAGGCAAGTTTCCTAATTAGTCAGAAAAGGAAGACTAGACATAGGACACATTCTGCTCTAGAATAACATTTTCTGTCTGCTTTAAATACCTGAGTGTAAAATCTATATTAAAATAATATATAAAAGCAGTGGCTGGGGGTATAGCTCAACAGAAGAGCAAGTGCTAAGCATGCACAAGACTCTAGCTTCAATCCCCAAAATAACCTCCAACAAAAAAAGCAGAAATATTATGTATAAGAGCAAAATTGCCTACACATTCATCACCTAATAATGAACAAAGGAAACCAATTTGATTACCTCTGAAGTTTTATCACTTGCTCATGCAATTATACATGATCTTCTCAGAGTAGTTTTAGTCTACATTGGCACTGATCATGTCATTAGTATTTTTCCACTTCCAACTCCATACTTCTTTTTCTTCATTCCTGCCTCTGTGATTAATGATGTTCTCTACATCTTTCTCTTTACATGGTAGACACCAAAACAATATTTAAATCAGATTTGAAAAATGTTTAGCTGGGTGTGGTGGCACATGCCTGTGATACCAGCAACATGGGAGGCTGAGGCAGGAGGATTCCAAGTTTGAGGCCAGCCTGAGAAAATGAGACCCTGTCTCAAAACAGAAAATAAAAGGGTCTGGGGTTGGGGTTGTGGCTCAGTGGCACAGTGCTTGCCTAGCATGCATGAGGCTCTGGGTTTGATCGCCGGCACCATATAAAAATAAAAATAAATAAATAAAGGGATTGTGTCCATCTACAACTAAAAGGAAAAAAACTTTAAATAAATAAATAAAAATAAAAGGGTCTGGTGATATAGCTCAGCGGAAGAACACCCCTGGGTTCAATCCCCAGTACTACAAAAAAGAAAAAAAAAAAAAAAGGAAAGAAAAATAATTCAGGGTTCAGGGCCTGGGGTTGTGGCTTAGTGGCAGAGCTTGCCTTACACATGTGAGGCACTGGGTTCAATCCTCAGCACCACATAAAAAAATAAATAAGCCAAATAAAGATATTGTTTCCAACTAAAAAAAAAAAAAAAACTTTTTTAAGTCAAAGAATTCAAATAGTCATATGTTTAATTAACTGCTTTGATATTTACTTCGATTTTAGATCTCAAACAGATGAGAAACAATCCTAGGTGGGGTCCAGACTCCCCTGCTACATTCTCACATATGCCAGGCCCGTGAGAACAGATTGTGTGCATCTGGGTCCCTGTTAGGCCACTCAAGACCTCTTAGGGAGGTCTTGCATCCTCAACTCTGAAATGAGATAAATTTTAAAAATTAAAAAAAAAAACTTATGTGTGTGTGGGAGGGAGGGTAACTTCATATAATTGAAAAGGCTAAAGATTAAATGGAAGGCTGGGGTTGTGGCTCAGTGACAGTGTGTTTGCCTAGCATGTGTGAGGCACTGGGTTCACTCCTCAGCACCAGATGAAAATAAATAAAAATAAAGGTATTGTGTCCAACTACAACTAAAAATTAATATTAAAAAAAAAAGATTAAATAGAGGGGCTGGGGTTGTGGCTCAGTGACAGAGCGCTTGCCTAGCATGTGTGAGGCACTGGGTTTGATCCTCAGCACCACATAAAAATAAATAAAATAAAGGCCCATTGACAACTAAATAAAAAACAATTTAAAAAGAAAGATTAAATGAAAAACAAAATTTTCTGCCAATTAAGGATTATACAATTGTTGGCTTACTTAGTTTGCCATTTAGTTTCTCAGCCTACAGAAAAATCCTTATAAACTAAGTCAGTGTTCCATTTTCCCAAAAGAAATCAGCTGCAAAGTCACAATGTCTCTTGGATTCCAACCACTCATCAAAACTGTCAGATCTAGGGGCTGGGGTTGTGGCTCAGTGGTAGAGTACTCGCCTGGCACACACAAGGTTCTGGGTTCGATCCTCAGCACCACATAAAAATAAATAAGTGAAATAAAGGTATTGTGTCCAACTATAACTACAAAATAAATATTTTTTTTTAAGTGTCAGATCTACAGAAGCAAAACTAAAAT